GGAGATAGAATAACAAGTACAAACCTTACTTCAACATTTGGTTCCATAATATCAATCTCAACTTTGAAATAAAAACTCAGTTATTACCAGAAAATCCGTAAACATAATAAGAATGATAATTTGGACAACACTAGTATAACACGTAGCAATTTGGCATAGGAATCAAACAATATCAGAAAAGCAGAGAAATATGAAAAAACAGGTAAATTGGCGGCGCATAGGTACTCGTCACCTCACATATACGCCGCTCACATGAATTTCACTTAGCAAATAATCTAAGGTTCCTAATTCCCTCAAGGAAGGGTTATACACAACACTTACCTCGCTCCGAAGGCCACTTAATTCTCAATCACAGCCTTTCCTTTGGAATTCACCTCCAAACCACTCGTATCTATTCAAAAATGACTCAGTAATATCAAATATTGCTAAAGGAATCAATTATATTGCATAAATTAAATTTCTCAAATTTTTCTCCAAAAAGTCGAAAAATCGACCCCGTACCCGCTTGGTCAAAACCCGAGGTTCGGACCAAAATTCTTTTACCCATTCACCCCCGAGCCTGAATATGTAATTAGTTTTGGAATCCGACCTCAAATTGAGGTCTAAATCCCCAAATTCCCGAAATTCCTATTTTCTACCCTAACCCCTAATTCTACCATGAAAACTCTAGATTTTAGGTTGAAAATTCAAGAAATGCAATGAGTAATTGAAAGAAAATGGTTTTAGAATCACTTACCAACAATTTGGGGAAGGAATGACTCTTGAAAAATCGCCCCTCACCGTTTAGTTTTTGAGAAAAATGAGATGTTTGGCAAAAATCCCGTTTTGGGTTCTGTTAAGTGCTGGGCGACAGTGTGCATCGCGTTCGTGAGGCCACTGTCGCGTTCGCGAAGGGTTCAGACTGCCAAGCCTTCGCATTCGCGAGACGTTACTCCCCCTGGCCTTCGCGTTCGCGAGACGTTGCTCGCGATGAAGGAACGACCAAAGCCTCCCCCCCAGGTCCCCACATGCTTCACGTTCGCGTTCGCGAAGGGTAATTCCGCGACCAGGCCTTCGCGTTCACGAAGATGAAGTCTCAGCCTCATCAGATTACTCTTCGCGTTCGCAAGAGGACCTTCGCGAACGCGAAGAAGGATATGAGAGTCACTAGAATCTGCAGAAAACCAGATTTTTCCCAAGTCCAAAACATCCTGTGGCCTATCCGAAACTCACCCGAGCCCTCGGGGCTCCAAACCAAACATGTACGCAAGTCCAAAAAATCATACGAACTTGCTCGTCTAGAACTCTAAATTTAGCACCAATCCAAATGAAATTCTCAAGAACACTTTAAAACTTCTAATTTCTCAACTGGACGTCCGAATCACATCAAATCAACTTCATTTCTCACCAAATTTCACAGACATGTCTTAAATATCATAATGAACCTCTACCGGGCTCTAGAACCAAAATACGAACCCGATACTAACAATGCCAAATATCAATCAATTCTTAGAAACAAATAATTTTCAAACTTTTAATTTCATCAAAAATTCATAACTCAAGCTAGGAACCTCCAAATTCGATTCCGGGCATACGCCCAAGTTCCATAATTTGATACGGACCTACCAGGACCGTCAAACCACGAATCCAGACCCGTTTACCAAAAATATTGACCGAAGTCAACTAAAATCAACTTTTAAGGCAAAAATTCTTATTTTCATTAGTTTTCAAAATAAAAGCTTTCCGAAAACCTGCCCGGACTGCGCACGCAAATCAAGTAGGATAAAAATGAGATTCTTAAGACTTAAGAGCTCAGATTCGAGTTCTAAAACATAAGATGACCTTTTGGATCATCACAGGCACTCAAATTAGTTGGCGTGTATGAGTCCTTCCCTGAGAATAGCTTTCTGTTGATCCTAGGCTTCTACTTTCTTTATTCCTCTCTTCCATTGAGCTCTTCAAACAAACTATGGATAAAACTTGATGTTTTTTAATCTCTCAGATTGTAGAAGGAAGAAAGCAAATTCAAGCCACAAAGGAGATAAGATTTATTGTTCAATCTTTCAACAACTATTTACATTAGTTACATGATCAATATACTTTATTGAGTAGCAAAATATAAATGTACAAGCTACAAAGAAGTAACATCATCAGAAGCACTTCATAAATGTACACTTCCTTTCAATCAAATAGATCCATCTTTGCGGCCTGAACCTTATAGGGTAATATATGACAATAGACCCAAAGGTTCCATTTGATTTTCCTTGTCCTTCATTTTATATACAATATGTTACACAGGCCTTTTTTTTTTTACTTTTCCTTTTTAATGAATTTCCTACACTAACCAGCATTGTGCTCCGCTAGTGCTCTTGGTTTCATGCAAACAAAAAAAAACATGGTTCATGGGCAAGACTATTGAGATCCCCCTTATATATGACATTACACACACCATATATTCTAAAGAACCTTAATAGAATAGTAGAAGTTAATCTATAACAATCTATAAAAACTGTATATACACAAGATAGTTTCTTCGCATTCGGAAATAAAATTAATATACATCCTCGAGGTATGCAGCAAAGTGTAACGAACCAGGTATACACATGTAAGAGATGCTAACAAGTGATATATTGTACACCTTTCCCGAAAAAACCAGGTCTAACAAATACAACTAATTCCTGCATAAGAGAACCACAGAAGATTTAAACTTTGCAACTCAAACAAACTACACTCCCAACTTTTAACAAGACATTGACCTTCATAGAGTAAATATTGACATTTTTAAATTTAAAACAGACCTCAGGGAAGAAGAGGAAGAACGGAATTTTTTTCGAGCAGGGCATGCGAGAGTCAAGTAATACTTTTGACCTGGATATTACGTTTAGTATAATCCTTCCTTCGGCGAGGTATGCTTTCGTCCTACCCCTTTTATATTGATGCAAAAAACTACTCACAAAACAGTGAAACACAACTTGTTCAACCAAATTAAACTAACTGAACTCTATTTACTTAAGACATAATCACGCATTAGGAAAGTTAACTACCAAAAAGTAACATAAAATAATTTGTTCAACAAGATAGTCCTTAATGTCAAATGACTAAACATCTATACTGAATTCAACTTGCTAGAGTAGTGATTCACAAGTTTCAATATGCTAGGTATTGTTTACCATCAAACCTGGAAAAGCTTCCACCGTGATGAATCTGTCTCCCATGCCACAAGGAGGGAGGGCCAAAACAGGAACAAATATATATGTAAAGAATGTTCATTTCCATGAGGTCAAAGTAGCGTCAAATCAATGTCACTGTAGAGCCAGCCAACAAATCTAGAATAAGAGAAGAATGTTTTCGATCAATGTGCACTGGTTGGAGGAAAGTTTTTAAATTGAGATGAATGCGTATATTAAAATATTTCGGGTAGTTTTTTCTCAAAAAAGCATTTCTGGCAGTTATATTTTGGATGATAGAGCTTCTCGGATAAAAAATGAAATTTTGGTCATCGGGTTCATTCTAACTCCTTACTTGGCTAATAATCAAGAGGTTTCCTCAACATAAATAACTAAAGGTTAGAGACAGAAATTCAGGTTGGAAGGCTCAAACGCTTTTTTGATTCCTCCAAAAGCAAAGCCGGCACTCGAGCATGTCCCTAAACATCAAGCTCTGCGTTGGAAAAATGAAAGACAAATGCTCGGCAAATTATCCTTGTTTCAATATTCTCCAAAGTCACACGCCTATGAAAAGATTCTACCAATCCATGGACCAACTTGATTTTGAATCTCCAAAGAGATCAATCAACGCGACCCAAAAATAAGAAAGCAGAAAGCAAAAGCAAAAAAATAAAAATTGCACAAGGAAGGAAAAAAGAGACCGGCGAACCTAACAATAATAGAATATATTGGATCTCTTTTTCGTTTTCTTAATTCAGCAAGAAGATACCAGATTCTTGAGAGAATAATTGGTAAGTCTAAGCTTGTCCGCTTTTCTACTTCTGATGTTGCGCTTACGAAGTGGTATGGTATCAATAGGTGGAACCAATCAGATCCTTGCAAGAAGGGTTAGATAAAGGAGCTATTATAGCTTATGTCGTTTGATGGCAATGAATTTTAACAATTCTTCTCCTTGTGATCGCTTGATCAATTGGTCTCTTAAAATATTCAGCCTCTTACTCAAATGTCTCCTCCTTGAATTAAGATCAGGAATATCTCTAAATAATCCCTGTACATCAATCTTTCTTTGACGGTTGAGGAGAATCTGCGTGGCCATTTGAAAAAAAAAATTATACTTGTAGAGTTCTCAAAACGATTTTAATTTCTGCAGGAATTACTCAGAGTAGATCAGTGACACAACAACAAAAGCAAAAAAATTAATATTTGTTGAGAGAAAGCAATGCATTGAGGAAGTGTCAGCAGATTTATTTAAACAGACGAAATGCACAAGAAATAAAAAGAATTTAAAGCACCACAATAAACTCTGCAACATATGATGCAAACACGTCCCTCATATGATCCTAAAAGGAATTTATGATCCTGAAAAAATATTATTTTATGGTTGGTCAACACTATTACAAATAGTGTCCCTTTGAGAACATCAGATTATATTTGGAAGGATACATAGAAGACTATTACAAACACAATCAGCTAGATAAAGAAGCATGCAGCTTGCCTGCCAACACAAGCTTATATTCAAATTGCAGGGTTCAAGTCCCTCTATCTTTATCTTCAATAAGAATATTTCGTTCACTAAATATTTATCCACTGCGCCTTTTCTAGCCAAGACATTCACCTTTCTAAGTCAATTATTAATGGTGACTCACCAGGTATGCTAGGGGTTTGACGTTGCAGTACGAAAGTGATTTTCTCAAGCGTCCTACTACATTCTATTTATTCTCCTGTGTCAATTTGGGGTACGGTCATTCACTGGGAAGATTGTCTGTAATAATTTGTAGGGGCGCTTCTATTAAAAGACCAGAATAAAGGAAAACTTGAAACAAATGAAAAAGAATGGAGTTGGCTAAACTTAGACTATCGGTAAGTCTTGACAACAAAATTGGGGCCCGAGGCCATGCAGATGCAAAATGATCAGTAAGAGGAAAATAGTGGCTATTAACAAGTTCCCCATCTTGTTGACTAAGACAACAATAGCGACAATAAATAAAGCCAAGGAAAAATCCACTCTAAAAGCTAGTAATCATTTATCTAAAGAATCTGATGTAGTTCGCGAGAATCATGTAGTTCATTTCGGAATGTAATGCAATTTAGTCATCCGCTTGAACCTCCAAGAAAAAGTTGGGAGTCACCATCAGCTCAATTGAGAGCTCCAAATAAGAGAAGCGAACCAGACTCTCATCCCTAGAATAAGTCTATTCATATATATGCATATGATAATTTCAGCATTTCAGATTGCCAAAGTTTACTCAAAACTGGAAAGCTGTTTTCACAGAATAACTAATCAAAGAGGAGTGTCACTCCAGTTGCTTCAAAAGCTTCTAGACTCCACAGCAGATAATATATATTGAACAAGCTATAAAGAACAAAAATACAGAACTAAAAACTACTTAACGAACTCAGAAAAATCAAGATTCAACATACCAATTTCAAGGAAAAAAACACGAAGAAACTAAAATTTAGAGTGCAATTGCTTAGTTAAGTCAATAATATTTAGCAATTGGCTAAGGGCACATCCATAAAATCAGGCAAACCATCCTATTAAAGTAATTCATCTGCAACCATTATCTGAAAGCTATAACTTTGCACAACAACATCAAACAAGAGTCGAGAATAATTCAGAAAGCAACCAAAAAGACAGCAACCTGTTCAAAGAGCTAGCTTTTGAGAATCTCATTCACCGGACACCGTTGTAAACAAAAACACAGACACTATGAGGGTGGAATAGTGTTAATATCCTGTCTATACAATTGTTATTCTCACTGTTATTTACCTATTAACCATGGGAGAATCGATGGAAAGAGAAGAAAGTATGGCTAGTCGTCCACTGCCCAAGAACAAACTAAATTTACATTAAAGGGCATAGGGCGCCGCAGTTAATAAAAAAACTAAAGGGCATAAATGTAATTCACATCAACCCAAATGACAAGCCCTCAGGTTCTAACGAATGAAATATTAGAAAATCCTCGCAAAATGCATATAATCAATAACGATCCCCCTCCTCAAATAAAAATAGAAAAAAGTAGAACAAATAAACAAGAAGGAATAACAGAAAGTTATGAACTGAATTAATCGCATGTGGTTTTCAGAATATCTTTCAAGATTTAGTTAATATTAATTCCAAAAAAATGTTCACTTCATGGATGTGGTTGTATTTAGTGTTTTACTTGGTATACTGTAGACACGGCGTTGGTACTTCAATCTTCACGTGTTATCTAATACTGCTACACAGGCGAACACATTATGTAACTTCCATTCCGAATCTTAGTTTCTAAACCTTCAAGTTGAGATGCTGTAGTCAGATTAATTTCTCATATACTGGAAGGCACAGTAAGACCAAGCGAAATGCATCTTTTTATGGGTGTTAATACTGCATTGTCCTCTTAGATTAATATCTTATATACTTCAATGCTCAAACTTATACCTAAAATATTTTCCAATAAACCAATAGCAAAGAGTTAAAATGAGTTCTCTATAAGTAAAACTTCTGTACTCTCCTGTCATCTATATGGAATGGCTGAGCCAATTCTTCGAGGTTTTGTTCTCACTATACTTGTGTATGTATCTTCACTCTGTTCTATATCCGTCTTCCTACCAGGAGAAGTTCTTCACAACTTATGTTTTCTTCTACAGTGATAGCGACCTAATAAATGATCTGCGCATTAACAGACTGCTTTGCTAACAGCTCTGTGAGAGAATATTGTCACGCAAATGTGTAGCAAACAACAAAACTATCTCTGTTTGGATACTTTATCGAAAAAGCTGATTAAACTTGCAACACTAAGCAACTTTGGGAAAGTAAGCTTTCTATTTTCTAATTTTGCAGTGGTTTCGGTGGATACTGGATAAACTCGCCTATAGAAGCCAGTTAAACGGCAACCTTTGAGAGCAAATAATAGGGAATCCCAAGTATACCATTTTTGTCGTCCTACTCTGAAATTGAAAGTTTCCTCCCAATCTCTCCCCAGATCATATTTTTTCCATAAGATATTTTACTTCATTCATCATCCATATTCTTAGCATACAGGGAAGGCAAATCCAATAGCAACAAAGAACACGGTCTCAAGATTCAATATCCTAATAAAAATAAAATTTGATAATTTTAAATTCTGAATCAATCGCGATCCAAGGTCAGAATCAATTTAAAATTCCACTGCCCAATGAAACCGTATCAGGAAAACCTATACAAGATACAAGAATCACAAAAATTAAACCTAAAAACAAAACAAAACAAAAAAAGCAACAATTGAGAAAAATTACCTGGCAGCCGCTTTGGTTACCTGACATTCTCCTTATTCATTTCACATGCTGATTAAAAACTCCCAAGACAGGATACAAGCAACTGCTCTTAGTGAAATACTGTTAGCACCATCAAGCTATCTGAAACATCCACAATTGCAACGTTTAATATGTACAACAATTATATGATGTTATTATAATTCAGACCAGCTTTAGCACTCCTAAATAAAGAAACTTTCAGGCACACACTTGGAGACTAAAACAGCCAATACAATCATAATTTATGTCAAGCACCTTTTATGAAATTAAGAAACAATAATTTCAAAGATTATCAATAAAAGCGTGTAAAATTTCTCACCTCTTAACAGGATACGGTCTTACAGTACTTCAAGTTAAATTAGCCTATGACCCTCTTGGTGTAATTCAGAATTTTTTAAGTCCCACTAAGCCGCATAAATATGGAAAAAACTCAGTATAAGAATGAAACCAACCACTTTCTTATGATGCTAGCAAAACAGAAGATGCAGAATCATAACTGATTCAGCGATCTGAAATTGATTAATTTAACGCAATATCAAAGGCATATAATTTGTAGGCCCACAACTACCAACGAAAATGGACATAAGACCCTTCCCGTTTTACTAATAACACAATGTTATTGTAATCTGGTTAAGGGTCAATTAAAAATCCTTATAGCTTCTTCAGTCATGCCATTGGGGGTCAATGCCTTAGTACCTCTGTATTGAGTCGTCGTATTCCTATTCAATCTCATCGTATTGCCAGGAAAAAATAATTATTATTTATTGCTACTTTTAATAATTTACATTAAAGTAATAATATTCCACCTATTATTTACTCCCAAAAAAATTCAGTTTCAAAATTTTTTCTTGCAATAAATGGATAAATTCATGCAAAAAATGAACAATCTAATTCCTAAATTTCAAGTTTACGCTCATGGTAGTGCTAAGGACAGAGGAGTATCAATGTGATGCTATCATAGCCATCTCTAAAAGAACATACCAGATTTTCCGAAAGAACATTTTATCAAACACTTTATAAGTGTCAATACCATTCTTTCATCCTTTTAATTAATTTAATACCAATTGTGTTGCCGTTCACCAATCAACGTCTGAGCATAAAAAAAACATAACATCACAATCATCCGAAAAGTCACCATCACCACCAAAATAACAATACAGTAAGTACATAAAATACATTACATAGAGTGCACATCCATACATTACACTTACTTGGGCATATACAAACAGACTCATCACAAGTACCCATTTGAAGTACGGTGCTTGTTCATATGCATTCAATGATTTCCATAAAACCCATCCGAAGCGAACTAAGCAATAAACTACTCTTCAGTATCTCTGAGTCTCCAATCAACGGTACCTTTAACAACTAATCAATATTCGGAGACGACAAACAAAAACAATTAAAATTCGATATTCGAAACCCTAAAATTCATCTAAATGTTATATTAATATGAAGAGCTTCAAGGTCGTATTTGCTATTTGCAGAAAGACATCGGAATCAGATGAAAAACAAGAGGACGATGAAACAAGCACTTTGCTTATTCCTCCGCCTCTTAGGGCTGTTTTGCGAAGACAGAGCAGAAGGGAAGAGGAGAACTAAGAAAGAGCGGATGAGGTCATGACTCATGAGCAACACGAGACACTCGGTGCTTCGGCGGACAAAAATGTTGACCAGCAACAGAGAGAAACAGAGAGCAAATGATGGAGGGCTGGTAGGCCACCGCCCAAGAGCAAAATAATTTTACATAAATGGGCCTAAGAAAATGTGGGTAATAAGAAAACCTAAGGGTATAAATGTAATTACACCCGAGAGCAGGACGCCGAAGAGGAGCTTCACTCCCGCTTCTAAATAGTACTAGTGAGGAATGGCCCGTTCTGAGCCCGGGCCCGAACCTGATAACTTCTAGTATGTCGTATGGTTAATCTGTGAAATTAAAATGTATGAGTTTCAGGTAATCATTCTGAAGCTTTGTTATTTGAGGTATCGTCTCGATTGGCTCATTGGAGAGATCTTGTGAGAAGCTTAAAATGTACATGAAGTTTGGTCCGTGATGTAAAATTAGTGTCTTATTAAACTTACCCATTTGGGTAGCAATATCGTCTGCGACATTAAGTTTGTTTTTTCAGAATATTTCCAATTTTTTAACAGATTGAATTATTTTGATAAACTCTATTTCATTTGCACATCTAAATATACAAAGCAAAACCAAGCTGAAATGTTTTAGATTTCATGTTTCAAATATCTTTTCAACAGTAACATTTTCTTGATATTTAGAATGAGATAAGATCGTTGTATGGAGTTCAGGATACATATGGTCAAATTGTTATTTAACTGAAAATGCGAGTTTGAACGTATAGCTTGCTAATTGTATGTCTTTCCGCATATGTTTCATTCACATGAACTAACTAATGAAATATAAAACTCGATTACATTAATATTTATTTCATACCAGTTCATAGGTTCTCCAACTTAGGAATATGGTGAATTTATCAGTATGACCAAGTTGTACCTTGCCGACAATAATAATCCCATATTGTTTAAATTTTGTTAGTAAAGAATTCATAGCAGTTCTCAACGGGTACAAAGAAAGCTCTATTCTTTCCATACCGGCATAGTTGGTTCGTGCAACTCGTTTTGCTACAATTACTGGATATTCAGCAGCCTGTGCAGCTAGGGTGCTTCCGACAATCTGAGCGAAGTCCTCCCATTACGTCAAGATTGTAGGCTGCTTACTCCAAGAAAAGGAATAGAGAATAAGTGGCACTGTGCAAAAACGCCGACATAATTCTAATAATGTCACCAGGAAGAACAAAGAAATGATGTAAATATACAATTAACCGAGCCAGTTCGGTAAAACCATCTAGTTACACACAACGCATGCCCCAACAAATGCTGTGTCAATTTTATAATTGCAGTGCAGTCAGCCTCACAATATTTTTCTATGCAATGCTACTTTTGTTTAGATTAAATATGCAATAGCAACAAGGGATACTGAACTGGCAATATGGATTCAATTAGCTACTATGTGTGGTTGGTATTTTTAATATAGTCATGGCTAAACTATGTATATTGCCCCATCTTAAGAGATAGGGATCTATCTATTTCTCATCCCATTCTTTAATTTCTTCAAATTAGCAACATTGCTTTGGATAGCCCTGTCAGTCAGATATTCAATTTTCTTTGGAGATAGAAACAGTTTTAAATAATCTATGCAGTCGGTGTTTAATAAATATAAAGGTCTTATATTAACTATATGGATTCTTAGGACAGGTTCCACGTGGGATTAGATATTGAAGGTTCCTCCCAAGCATTTTGGATATGGAATCTATATTGTCGGAAAGGTTCTCTCTAACCCGGGCAACCTTTCTTCTTATAGATTTACAGAATGGAGTTTACCTTCATTGTTGTATTCTACATACCAATCGACGGAATGAAGCATTGATTGACGGTAAGAGAAGATAGATACTTCTGGTTTACTAAATAACATGTGGAGCTCCCAACCTCATGGGTCATACTTTTAAGTACAGGGAACTAAAGCATCAATAAGTTTAACAGAGTTTTTTGAGCAAGAAGGACATTGTTTCGGAATTTAGCTGTAGTAATGTATATTTTATATTTCAAGTGAGGCATAAGTCATCAATAGAATATTGAGAAAATGACTTGAATATCGAGAAAATGACTTAGTTGCAACAAATCTTCAAAAACTTTGATCATTGGAAGCACAAAATTGTCTAACCTTTGCTGCCACTTTCTTGCATCTAGCAAATCTACTTTGATCCAGTAAGTGACATAACTATGTTTGTATTACCTGGTCTAAGAGCAAAGAAAAAAAGAATGAATCCTAATTTGGAATTAGAACCTACCTGTTCTCATAGGCTTTAAGACCAAACGTTGGAAACATGCAAATCCACAGTCATCCCCAGCAGTGAAAAACCATTGGAAGAAACCCCATAGGAAGCTGAAGGTTAGAACTTTCCCAGAGCTTTTACTTGTTTCCTGTAGCGATCGATTAGAAAGAAACGATAAAATTGTAATCATACCATTTGTATTAATGCTGACAAAATTTACTAAATGGATAATATTCTTTCTTTTCTAGCTTAGCTCCTTGTGGCATGTGGAAATTGTTGATAAGGTGAGCAATTGCAGTGCCCCACTTGGATATGTCAGTTTGAAGTCTAAGATCATAATCTGAAACATAATTAACAAATCTTAAGGTCGATTACACCCTAGAGTAGTGTCATTTAACCAAAAAACAAAAATATAACTTATAACGGAAAAATTAAAAGTGATATCTCCAGAATACTAAATCTTGCGAACAACTTTTATCTTTTGCAAGGAAATTTGTGACGCATATGCATTACACATATCCTGAGATAGGAACATACCTTACGAAGAGAAAAAAGAAATCCTATCATCCATCCCAAAGAGGGGTTCTTAATATTAGCTACATTGTTAGCTTCAACTGTCTGTTCGGCAACAACTTCATTCATGCCAAATAGATAGCTCCCGAAACCTCCTACTCATCCAAAGTAACATGAACAAAAATCAAGTAAGAGTAATTGAATTTGAGATGCTACTATCATTCTTAAAAAGAAATATGGAAACAGTTACACATCTTTTCAAATAAAGGCATGGAAGAAAAATGGTGAATAATAAGACGTAGAGAGGGGATACATTCTTATGTTTTCCGAAAGCAGGACTACGAAGATTCCTCTCTCACTGCAGCTCGTTGTCCCTTTTTATACTCCTGTTATTTCAAAATGTATTTTACAAGTTAAGAAAACAACAAACTATCTGGAGATTAGTAGCGGACGACCATCGTAATGGACCCAAAATAAATGCATCCATCAAGAATGAAATGCATGGAGTAAAAAGAATGTAGATACTATCATCATATTTCCTCTATGATTTTATAAAGTATAGATACTAACCACTTAAAATATCATTCTGGCACATTAGCCGAAACATAAGTGACCAAGAATCATTGCTCATTTCAAATGCAAGTGCAACAGTTAATATAAAGAGATGTACATTTTGGTTCACTCGACTCTTCTATCTTGAGTAACATTATGAGAAACTTAGCCATATGGTTCGATTTAAGGCATACCCCTCTTTTTTGGTGGCAACCAGCTTAGTAGAATCTCTATTCTCAAAATAGAATTGCGCTATTTAGGTACAGTGCACAAATCATATGTGCGCATTCATTGGCATGTGAAACTCGATTACAAGGAATATTGGAGAGTGAAGATTACTATAACAAACTTCAATTACCGAATGAATTATACATAATGGAACTTAGTTGTCCAACATCTAAACTTTGATAACCTCACTATGTCATTCAGCTTTAATTACAAGTCACTGACTCCTTATGGAACAATTAGTAAGTCCTCAATCTGATTGTAAACACTCTGACATTTAGTTGCTATTATTTCATTTGTGAATCAGATAAATTAGCAGTTTCCCTGTCCGGCTGATTATATTCTCGCTATAGCTTGAGTAAGAGCTTAAGTTTCCTCGTAAAGAATGAATTCACACATATCTATCAACTCCCTTTGTATAACATTTAAACTTTTCCTAAGTAAGAGCTTAAGTTATTCAATTTGAATCTCCTTGTAAACATAGTCGTTATCATATATTCTGGACTTTCCAGAGCACGACTCAATTCTGATTCCTTATTGTATCAGACTTTCGTCTAATCTACATTTCATACCACGCGTCATAACTTCTGCTAATAAGATGCAAAACTCTATCCAAACTCATGTACAGCTAGACAGAAGAGCCATATCAATATCTGTATATATGTGGTCTGTATTTATTTTTTTTATTTTTTTGTGAGGTCGAAGGAAATTGATCTTTGTCTAGTGCGATATATATAGCTATAATTTAAAAGAATTTCTAGTGGAAGGGGTACAACTTCCTTCCTATAGCAATGTAAGGAATATAAAAGGTTTTTTTCCTGTTGTTCTTTCTATTCCTGCGATTCATATGGTACTTTATCTTATAATCATGTTAACTTTTATTGATGACTGATTTAACTTTCGTTTATCATTAAGACTACAAGGATCTAAAAAGGAGCCTAAAATTGGAATAAGAAAAATAGAGATGGAAGTAAATGTTAAAAATGTCTAGAGGAGCTTTTTAAAAACTCTTAACGAAATCCATAAGCAGGTCGGTTAGATCTAAAAGAGGAGGTGAAAGACGAAGGCTAGAGTACTGACAGTTGATGTTATATTTATTCTCAAATACAGAGCTTCCTTCTTACACTTGGAGAACTTGTGAACCATCAATTTGCTTTACAGTTCTTTCCTGCACTCCATCTGCAGGAGGTTGTCTTTTCATAGCTTTCGACCACTATGGATTGTGTCGTAAGCAATAGCAAAATACAAGCTTAATAATCAGGAGATTCCTCCAAAGATATTAAAATCTAGCCTAAATCAACTACAAAAGAATTATATTTAAGTAGTCAACCAAATAATGTGAATATAGTGAAGTTACAATGAATTCTCTGACTGAATCAAAAGAGCAGAATGAGCACATATGATGCACACAATCCGCCCAACAACGATTAGTGGTGGAGTCAGAATTTTGGATAAGGGGATTCAAAAAAATGTAAGAATGTCATAAATAAGATATGAACCTATGTCAAGGAGGCTCAATGGTTGGTATATACAAAGAAATTTGTTTTTACCCTTTTTTCAAGATGTAACTTTCCACCAAAGGGGATTCAATTGAACCCCTTCACCAAAGGTAGCTACACCCCTGAGTGGGAGTAACCATTGCGCAAGACCAGGGTAAGCGCATGAAATTTCAACAAGGTCGAATTCAAATCCAATTCTCTCTTGGACGCAACTACTCTGAATGTTTCAGCAAAATGGGTCTCTATTTCCAAAATCAAATATAAGAAATTTCTATAATCAAATTACAATGCATCCTCTGAGGCTCTGACTAAATCAACGGAACAACATGGATGCAGATGATTCATAGAACAGTAAATTAGTTCACATATCAACCATTAGGTAGTGGGTAAAAGTTGTCGAGCCTGCTGCGGTCCATTAACGCAGCCACACAAATCTAAAGAATGAGACGAAATACGAAGAGTACTCACCTTTCAGCCACCAAACAGAAAGATAGCAGCAAAATGAAGCTACAAAAACAAGGAGGAAACCCAAGCAAAACAGAGAGATTTATTGGGTGATCACAGCTAACCAGTGCGGTAAACTGTCCGATATAACGTTGAGGTTAAAGAGCAAATATGCAGAAGCAAGGGGCACCAAAGTAAACAGATTTCAAGCATAACGTTAATTATAGATAACCACCAAAAACGCAGGTGGTGCAGAGCGAGAAGAACAGGTCACAACGCCAAAAGCAAGAACCAGTTTATCTTCCACGTCAGAAACGAAGGAGACGACAAAAAGGCGCGCGTACCCAAGAGAGAGGAACATAGTGCGGAGGGAAAGGAAAAGAATTGAGCGATTTCGCGTCCACAAAATCGGCTTGTAAAATATGACAGAAGACCAAAATAACCCCCGATTTTGATACAAAAAAGGGAGTTTGTCGTAATTGCAGAAGCAGGACGACGAAGAGCACCTCAACTCCCGCTTCTAAATAAGTAGAAATTCTAGTATGGATAGTCCGTGCTGCGCACGGTCCCAATAACAGTATATTTGGCGGCAGACCTACAATTTCATTATGGATTAAACTCAAAAGTTTTTGTTCAAATTTTATATTCTCTTCGATAATTTATTGGATATGTATAAAATATTATTTTAGAACTCCAATAAATTAAAAAAATTAAAATTCATAACTCATAAGTTTTAAATTTTGATTGTGGCTATAAGCAGGGGTGTCAATGGATATTCAAAAACCGACTAAACCGACCGAACTGTACCGCACCGAACCGATTTTTAATTTTTTATTAAAGAAACCATAACTTTTTATATAAATTTATAACCGCACCGATAATTAGGGTAGGTTTTTTATTTATGAAAATAAACCGAAAAAATACCGAACCGTACCGAATAAATTTTACATGTGGAAAATATATTTATATAGTAAGTTTAAAAATAATAATGCATTAAATTTTTCTTTGGGCCTTGGAATTATGAAAATTGTTACAAGCCAATAAGTAATTAAACTCAAAATGCTAATTCCTAAAACCTATTATGCTACTTCTACTTAAACTAAGTTATTTCAAGTATTTTCATTAGCAAGACACAAAGTATTCTAGCGATTATAAGTAGCAAACTACAATGTATTGAATATGTTTCCTTTCATATAATTTAGATTTATCTTTTTGAATATTTAATCTTATATAGACTTTATTCTTGAGTCTCAGCTTGGTTATATCTTTCCACTCGTGTGATTTGTAATTTTTATTTTTTTTTTGCCTTTGCTTGGTTTCTTTTACGTTGTTGTAGAATAGTTGATGGATCTATACTCTAGCCATCTTTCATTTTTTTAATTCATCATCATTTAAACAGTAAAAATGTCTAGAGAGTTTTGCTAAGTCCTATAAAAGGACATATGTTATTGCATTCTACTTCTACTGGTGAATTTTACATGATATTTAAAAAAAAAATTGAAAATTAACTGAACCGTACCGATACCGAAGAGAAACCGACATGATTGAGACGGTTTTGAAAAGTCTAATTTTGGTTATACATAATAGAATAACCGAAAAATTGGTATGGTATAAATTTTATAAAATAATCGGCCGAACCGAACCATTGACACCCCTAGCTTAGAGTATGCTAAACATTTGAGATTTTTTATAAATGAACTCTTATATGAGAGTCCATCACCAATTAGCATGAGTAAATTTTTGCTTAACTTGTATATATTTATTTAAAATAATTGTGCATAGGTTCTCCGAAAATTCTATCTATACCATTTATGATTTTGACACATATAATTAGCATTAATATAAGAATAATTTAACTAACTAATCTCTTATATCTTCATTTTGGGACTTATAAATTTTATTTTTAAGCAAATCAATGGATATGTGCATTTCTTCATTGAATTTTACGATTCATCCTCAAACGATTGCAAGCTGAAGGAAAATGAGCAACAGGACAAGTATTTCAAGCTTTTCCATATTCAAAATAGGTAGAGAACTCTATAGCAGTTACTGTGGATTTCCTTTGTCGTTTGAATATTTTTATAATACAAATCCTAGCATTGGAACATAGCAGGAACTTATTTGCTTACTAATTAAACTGAAAAATATAAATGAAGCTCAGACACTCACATGGCCAAAGAAAGTAATATAGTTACCGTAAATGGCCACATGTTTCAAGGAAGCCTTAAAAAGTGAAGGTGAAAATTTGAGTTAATTAAAAGGTTTTTCAAGTTTATCTAAGTATAAAACCAACCACATTTAAATTATACGTTGATATTTCAATGAAACTAAGCATCTATTATAAAAAATATATTCACTAAATAATCTTGTTATTATTTAATTCTTGTGTTATAATCTTCGTAGTATAATTTGGATATAATTTTTGCGTAGACCAAACGATCCCTAAAATAAAAAAAATTTATAATCCCATGAGCAACAGTGGAATAAACCTATATAGTGAGGTATTTATCTAGAGTTTAGTTTTAAATCTTTTGAATGTTAATCTAATGAGGTCCTTTGCTGATGATGGTGTAAGGGCACATTTTCCAAAGTTTTCTTTTTGCTAATTGAGAATCAGAGACAGTGTACAAAAAAAGAACAGTTAAAAAATTGGAAAGCTCATCCAATTAATGACAGGCCACTTGGCATTTAGATAGTAGATTAGCTTTTGAAGCTAAGCAAAAGCCTGACGACAGCTAAGGAAAAAAATTGGCGTAACTCAGTCCAAAGCAGAAGGGTAAAATAGTTCAAATACAAAACTACTTCTGAAGCGGCTACAGTGAGATTCTTTATTGACCAATCATATTGTCCAATTTAGGGTAAATAACAAATATAAATTAAATTAATAACTAAATTAGTAATTACCTTAAATGTTAGTATTTAAAAATAAATAAACTCATGACAATATAAGGGTTAATAGGTTAGAAATAATATCGTAAAAGTTAAATTAGAAGCTAATTTTAAAGTTGCAAAATTAATGTAAAATTTTACAATAAATTTTATTTACATAATATTACTTTTATTAGAAAAAAAGGTATGTACATTCCTTCGTATTGAAAGAGTTGGCGCCCAAATAATTGTACTACTATTTAAAAGCATTACAAACTACTTAAATTGCAAAATGTTATATTTACTTTCTTTCATGAATTTATAATGTTTAAAATTTTAGATGAATATAAATATTAATTATTAACTTATTGACATAGGTTGAACTTAAACCTAGCATATGTAAAAATTATTCTTTATTTAATGAAATTATTCTGCTATATTCTTTTATTTAGTGAATTTATTCTGCTACATTTTTTTTTATTTAGTGAATTTATTCTGCTACGTTTTAACTTGTCAATTTCATTTATTCAAGCTTAACTGTTGATTTAACATATTTGCTATTCAAACTCAGCAATTAGTTATCTATTAGGTCCTAATTGCATAAAACAATTTCTGTGCTGGAAATAAATGAGCTGCTAAATATACTTGATTTAGAAAATCTTAGATTTGGTTGAAGTATTTGTATTATGTGCTTATAAACAGATATAACTTTCAAGGAATAGTGGTCCGACAATAGTGGTCCGACAATTTGTACTTTGCATATGTGGAGAAGTCTTGGGTAAATATGTGTTCAAATGGGTCCCACGTTTTGATACTATGCATCTGTCGAAAATTCTTCAAATTTTCCTTTGTTCACTAAATTGTGGGTCCCACGTTTTTGTACTATGCGTTTGTGGAGAAAAAGTAGGCTTTGAAATTGCGTCAACAGTTCTTTTTATTTACTAAATTGTGTGATGGCAGGTAATGTAATAATATTGAAAATCAGGGGTAAATAGATAATGATGAAGCTCGTGATGAAACAGCCATGTTGACTGAGAGCTCTATCGGATTCCGGGAAAAACCAAAACCATAGGTGATATTTGGCTTTAGATTCAAAGTCATATATATTCTTTTACATAGAGCATTAATAGTATATTTATTTTAATAAAGTGATACACTTTTAGTCATAACATTGAAAAAACTCAAAAACATACATTATCTTTGACTTTAGACTCAAAGTCATACATATTCTTTCACTTGAAACACTAATAGTCTATTTATTTTAATAAAGTGATACACTTTTAGTCATAACACTAAACACATTTTAATTTTTAACAGAAATCTAAGATCTGACAAAATATTTGTTCCCTTTATTTTCTTGTTTACCAAAAGAATTAAAGATGACAGATTTATCTAGATAGCAAATAGTAAATATACATAGAATTTATTTACTATTTATCTATTTATTATACGTAAAATATATATTTTACTAAGAAATGTTAAACACCGTTAATTTTTATTTGCAATGATTTTTATCTAGATAACCTCAAATGGTATCTAGATTTTTTATTATATACATAATATTTATTATACGTTGACATAAAATAAATATATATTTTGAAGATTTTGAAGCCCAAAGCTTGTCTTAAAGATTTTGAAGCCCAAAGCTTAGAAAAACAGTAGCCCCACTTTCAAAAAGGAAAAAATCAGACCAGAAACACGAGTCTTATCTCCAAAAAGGAAATCAATTTATTTCGAAAATATGAAGTGCTATCGTCCCAAAGGATTTTCAACAAAAATAATTTTTCTTCAAGTCTTGAAATCAAGGTATATCTTAGGCTTACCCCATCTCATTAGAACAAAATATACGCCCCTTGCTTAGGAAGAAGTGTTTAAACCTAGTTCTCCTTTCATATACTTTCTCAAATACAAACATCATATATCTCTTTTCAAAAGCTCTTTTCAAGTATACGTTATTTTCCTTTATAAATTCATTCCACTTTTAAACTACATCCTCCCTTTGTAAGAATCATGTCCTAATATACGTTAAGCCATATCTCTAGAACACTAGTTAAGGCATAGTATAAATAATTGATTCCAAATTTAGTCTAAGTCCTATGGAGCTACCTCAGGTAGATTTTAAGGGGTGCCTAACACCTTCTCCTTAGAAGAACAATAACCCTTACCCATAATCTCATCGGTTAGCAGACTAATAAAGAATACGATTTAGTAATTAAATAGGTGCCCTTGTATACCTTTAAATATTAAGTGGCGACTTTCTTTTATTAACAACAGAGAAACCACAAGTTGAATCTTGTTTTGACTAATGCAAAATAGGGTGCAACATCATTTGAAAGGCTATTAGAATTTAGTTACTCATTTCACATAAAAAAACTATTTAGACAAAAATACCCTAATTACAATACAAAATAATTTCAGCAATCGGTTCTAGATTTCGAAGCTTAGACAAGTGAAATTCCATCACACTATACTGGAGTTTGAAAATTCCTTACATGTAAAACTCCAGCACTGTATGCTTGAGTTCGAACCAGTTTCAAACTTTCTCCAAGACAAATATGTTTAGTTCATGGATTAACAAATACGTAATCTACAGTGAACTATTAATTTTTACAAGGTAGACAATTCAATTACTAAAGGAACTTTAGCATCCAAGGAGAATATAACCTAAAGAAGTCATGGAGAAGGATAAGAAGAACACCAAGTTAGTTGGGCTTTATCTGTATGGGCTAAAAATGTCATATAATCCGAGCCTAATCAATATTAAGAAGGCATTCAAAGGCCGCCACGTATCATCAATTTGACTTCAACGAAGGATGAAGGCGAGGTCGAGGACTCAACGGAGGTCGAGGACGAGGATGAGTACTTCCTTTAGCAGAGCAGTAACGTCTAGTTTTAGAAATAAGACTTTGAAGAGAATATTCTTCCGATCCGTACTATTAGAGTTTTTGTGGCCGATGTGCCCTTATAAATAGAAAGATATGTAGTTGTAGGAGGGGATTGGACACTCATTGTAAAAAATAACGCATTGACATTCTCTGAAAATTCTTGTTTTATCATACACATATAAAATACACTTTTTTTTAAATCTTTATCTATATTTTCTCCCACGATCCAAGAAGAATCTGAATATTCAAAGGTTTACCAATCATGTGTATTTGTCATAAATAATATCAAAGAACTCACCCTTTTCGGGTGACTCATATGCATTTATTTATATAAATGCCATTCATTGCTATTTATTGTTATTTAATGCTACCTCCTTTATTTTTGAATCATTTAATATAGCATTATCGTCACCATTTATTGCTACTCAAATAGTATCCGCGATATCTCGCTATAAAATCGGTTAATCTATCTTTTGGATATTAACATTGGCAAAGATTAACTCTATTTATTAGAAAATCTATTTGTTTAAACCTAGATCTAAATTTTGGATCAAACAGTTTGGCGTCGTCTGTGGAAATTTTCTCCGCCATTTTTATTGTTTCCATTAGATACGCAACTCATGTGACTTGTTAACCTAACAAACCACCAAGTTTTACTTTTCTCTATGCAAACACAAGTTTCCATGGAAGGTAACTAAGGAAACAGGACCAATGCGGCAGAAAATGTCCCCATTAACCTCAAGAATTCTATCAAAGAAGGCTATGACTCCCATGATAAGAGGATAACGCCCACGACCTCTCCCAGACGAGAAACATCACGTCTACCTTTCTGCAGCACAACAAAACCAAATGGGCAAGGGGCCTCCACGTCCATGGGAGAGGGGGCGCCACCCGCTATGAAAAAGCTCCTCAAAGCATGGCTAACTGATACTCTAATCAGTGTGCTCAGTAAACCAGCTCCATTCACGACCACAAAGACCACGTGAGTCCATCTAGCACAATGCGAGAACGAACATGACAACCAAACAGACCCTCTGACTTCAGGTAAAACTCACAATATTACTAACAATTCAGGTGACAACGTCCTCACCTCCATGTTGAAAAGAATGGAGGAAATGGAAAACGAGAACAAGGCGCTCAGAGACCAAATAAAAGAGTACCAGGAATGGGTGGATAAAATACTTGGTGCCCCCAAATTGCTACCAAAATGGGACGCCGGCAGGTTCGTAGAACAATCGTATAGCGAGGAAACGACTCCACATGCAATACCAAAGACCTTCAAGATGCCTCCATATCTCAGAATCTACGATGAAATGACCGATCTTGAAGATCGTTTGACTTACTACGTTACCGTTGTGAAAGGCAACGACCTCACCAAAGAGCAGGTGTCCTCCATCTTGCTGAAAATATTTGGCGAAACCCTCATTGGAGGGGCATTGACGTGATATTTATAGTTACCAGCTTGTTCCATAGAAACATTCGAAGAAATGGCCGACAAGTTCGTGAAGGTACATGTCGGGGCCAAGAAAGCTGAAACAAGAGTAAATGACATCATCGAAATCAAGCAATCCCTAAGAGAGGGACTATGGGACTTCCTCGCCCGATTCAACAGGGTGAGGATGACTTTAACAAATGTTTCCGAAGGGATGGACGTGGCAACCTCTTAGAATGGGTTGAGCAGAAAGGGTTCGAGAGCAACCTAAAGGCTACTGAGTCGGTTGATGAAGTATCCACCAACCACTTGGGATGAAATCCATAATGCCTACTAGGCCGATGTTAGAGCAGACGACGACGACCAACTTGACGACTCACCTTGGTACAATCCGAACCTAGGAAAGAACGCAGGGATAATACAAGAAGAGACCACCCAGTATCGTGGCCAAGCAAGGAACGACACCAACCCTATGTCAGGACACCAGTCCCCCTTTTCTATTATGAAGATGGCCTATCTAGGCCGAGATCAGGCCCTCACAGGAAAGACCGAGGTATGCCCCCTTTATTATCTACTCACAATTTTTACGTATCGCCTAGAGAAGTGGTCTACGCTTTCGAGAAGCTAAAAAAAGTCAAAAGGCAACCAAAGACGTGGTCGGACCCAAACATAAGGAAATCTGATGCCCTCTACGAGTTTCACCAAGAACGTGGATACAAAATAGAAGATTGTATCACCCTGAGACAAGAGGTGGCGAACTTGCTGCAACAAGGGCACCTCAAAGAACTACTCAGTGACAAAGGCAAGAATACCTTAGCAAGGGGTCGAGAATGCCCAGGCCCACCAAAGCCCACTTCACCAGCTCGTACCGTCAATATGATTATTAGTGGCTGCGATAACACGTCTATCAACGACATCAAATTCACTGCCACCCACAAGCTCAAAACATCGATCACCTACGAACGATATGATGGACTCGAAGAAAGTATCATTTTTGATGAGTCAGATGCCGACAATTTGACTTTCCCTCATAATGATGCACTTGTAATTACTTTACAAATTTTAGATATTGATGTTAAGAGAATTATGGTAGATGACGGAAGTGGAGCATGCATCATCCATCCCTGAGTCCTCGCACAGATGAGACTCGAGGTTAAGATAGTGCCACGTTACATTACACTAACCGGTTTTAACAATGCAGTTGAATGGATTTTGGGAGAAATCACACTCCCTGTTCTCGCTGGCAGAGTAACTCTAGAGATAACATTCCATACCATGGACCAGGACACCGCATACAACGCTATCGTGGGATGACTATGGATATTCCCCATGAAAGTCGTCCCTACCAGCTTATACCAAGTGATCAAATTCCCAACACCTTGGGGAATATTCAGCGTACGAGGGGAACAACGTACATCCCAGGAGTGCTACCGAATCACCATAGACAACACGATAACTCAACAAAAGAAAAAAAAGAAAAAAGAAGCATAACAATCAACAAGGTCGAGGTCGTCGTAGGGCGAAGCCAAGGAAGTCATCATGGACCCCGAGAAGGTCAAAGCCGCTAAATCACCCATAGAAGACCTCGACCCCATTCAGCTAGATCATAGCGACCCCAGCAAAAAGGCCAACATCGGCTGCAAATTCCGAGAACCGGGTAAATTTAGTCAATTCTTAATAACTAAAGCAGATTTGTTTGCCTTTAGTCATGCAGATATGCCAAGCATCCCCAAAGTAATCACCACACACAAGCTGAATGTCGACCCCTTCTACCCCCCGGTATGGCAGGCTAAACGAAAGTTCAACCCCACCATCAATGAGTCTGTCCCCTAAATAGATTGCCAATGTAATGATGGTTAAAAAGAAAATGGGAAATGGAGGATGTGCGTGGACTTCTCAGACCTAAACAAAGCATGCCCAAAAGATTCATTTCCACTGCCTCACATCGACCAACTCATCGACGCAAAGGCAGGACACGTGCTGGTAAGTTTTCTGGATGCCTACTCGGGTTACAACCAAATACTCATGGAGGAAGAAGACCAAGAGAAAACTACATTCATCACCCACAGGGGAACGTATCATTATAGGGTCACGCTATTTGGGTTAAAGAACACAGGGGCTACCTATCAAAGGTTGGTCATAAGAATGCTTGAAGAACAACTCGGCAAAATCATGGAGGTGTATATCGACAACATGTTAGTCAAGTCCGAGAAGAGAGGACCATATCGACCACCTAAAAAAAGCTTTCGATATACTAAGAAAGTATGGAATGAAACTGAATCTCAAGAAATGCATGTTTGGCGTTGCATCGGGAAAATATTTGGGCTTCTTGGTATCACAACGAGGGATTTAGGTCAACCCAGATCAAATTAAAGCTATCAACGGGACATCAGAACAACTGACCACTAAGAAGAAAGTTGAAAGACTGAACTATTGAATTGCCGCCCTATCCATATTTATCTCGTGGTCATCCGATAGATGTCATAGGTTTTTAGCATACTCAAAAAGGACAATGGCCTCGAGTGCACGCCTGAGTGTGCACAAGAACTGTGAGAACTGAAGGTGTACTTGTCATCATCACCCTTTCTCTCAAAGCCCGAGCCCGGGGAGTGCCTCCTCGTTTACCTTGCCGTCTCAGAAGTGGAGTAAGTATGGTCTTGGTTCGAGAAGACAAAGGTACGCAATCTCTAATTTATTATATCAGTAAAACACGTGTTGACGCTAAGACGAGGTACCCTCACCTCGAGAAACTAGCATTGGCCTTGGTCGTAGCTTCACGAAAGCTTAGACCATATTTTCAGTGTCACCCTATCTCGGTCATCACCATTTTTCCTTTAAGAAGCATATTACACAAACCCGAGTTGTAGGGGAGGTTGGCCAAATGGGCCATCAAGTTAAGTGAGCATTATATCACTTATCAGCCTCGCATAATGATAAAGTCGCAAGTACTCGCCGACTTCATCACAGACTTTAGCGCGTAAGTAATGCTTGAGGCTGAAAAGGAAGCCACTCAAGCTTCTCTTGAGACATAGGACCTTTGGGTCCTGCACAACGATGGCGCATCCAATGCATACGAGTCCGGGATGGGTCTCATACTCGAGGTTCCCACTGGTGAGGTAATTCGCCAATCCATAAGATTCCCAGATATGACTAATAATGAGGCTGAGTATGAGGCCGTAAATGCAGGATTAAGACTAGCACTCGAGTATGGAGCAAAGCGATTACAACTTCGTTGTGATTATCAGCTTGTAGTCAACCAGGTTATTAGGACTTTCCAAATCAAAGAGATGAGGTTGCATAAGTATCAGACTGAGATCTGCAGATTGTTACCATTGTTTCGAAGAGTGCCAACTCGACCAAATTCCATGAAATCAGAACGTCAAAGTAGTTGGTCTCACAAAGTTGGCACCGCCACAAAAAGTATAACTCCTGGGGATAAGAGTGTAGTTCACCTCCTCAGGTCGACATTAGACCAAATCAAGGTAAGATCTGTAAATTTAACTTGGGACTGGCGCAATTGTATTATTATTTATTTACAGGACAATATCCTCCCAAACGACAAAAATGAAGCTAAAATGTTAAGAATACAAGCCGCTAAATATGCCTCATTCACAACGACTTTTACAAAAGAACGTACGACGACCCCTTAGCAAAATTCTTAGGCCCAAACTAAACCCAACGTGTTCTCGAGGAAGTCTACGAACGTCATTAGGGTGCTCATTCCAGTGATCGAGCACTCGTCAGGTGCCTCATACGGGCTGGGTATTATTGACCCACCATGAAGAAAGACACCTCAGAATTCGTGAAGAATGCAAGCCGCTAGATACGCCTCCATATGAAACAACAAAAAGGAAGCTAAAATGTTAAGAATGCAAGCCGCTATATACGCCTCCTTCACAACGACTTATACAAAAGAACGTACAACGACCCCTTAGCAAAATTCTTAGGCCCAAACTAAACCCAACGCGTTCTCGAGGAAGTCTACGAAGGTCATTTCGGTGCTCATTCCAGTGATCGAGCACTCGTCAGGTGCCTCATACGGGCTAAGTATTATTGGCCAATCATAAAGAAAGACACCTCAGAATTCGCGAAGAAGTGCGAGCAGTGTCAGAAGTATGCCCCAATAATCCACTAAGCAGGGGAACATCTCCATTCGGTCACCTCTCTATGGCCATTTATTAAGCGGGGAATGGACATCGTGGGTTTACTTCTGCCGGGATGAGGTAATGTAAGATTTCTTTTAGTTTTAACTGACTATTTCTCTTAGTAGGTGGAAGCAGGGGCATTCTCCCAAGATCGTGAGCAAGAGGTAATCACTTTGATATGGAAAAATATCATCAGCCGATTCGGCCTACCTAAAGAAATAAGTTGTGACAATGGGCCCCAGTTCACGGGAAGAAGAACCACTGAATTCTTCAAAAAATGTCATATTAAAAGAATACTTTCAACTCCTTACCACCTAGCTGGCAACGGACAAGCAGAATACTCCAATAAGTCAATACTAAACATCATGAAGAAAAAACTCGAAGAGGCAAATGGACTGTGGCTGGAAATACTCCTAGAAGTATTATGGGCGCACATAACTACCCCGAAGATTAGCACATGAGAGACACCTTACTCCCTAGTCTATTCTAGTCGAAGTCGGAGAAAGCAGCCTGAGGTACTCCCATGAAATCGGCACCAGTAATGACGAGAATATGAGACAAGATCTCGACGAGGTCGAAGAGCGACGAGACATGGAATACATAAGGATGGTCACTCAGAAACAACAAGCAGAATGCTACTACAACAAAAAGTCAAAGGTTCGATTGCTCCATATCAGGGACTACGTACTCAAAGCCAAAACTCAAGCAAACAGGTATACACAACAAGGCAAGTTGGGAACCAATTGGGACGGACCGTATAAAATTATAGGCAAAGCAGACAAGGGCTCATTATAATTAGAAACTATGGAAGGGAAGCTCCTACCAAACAAATCGGAATATCAGCCATCTTAAGTACTTCAACTTCTAAAAAACAAGAAATGCCCAGTAAGTTGCACTCTTTTTTCCCCACTTGAGTTTTGTCCCAATAGGGTTTTCTCAAAGAGTTTTTTAACGAGGCGACGAGGGGGACACTTCAAGTTGGAATGCACGAGAAACTTATTTTTTCATTTCCTAACTCCTCAAGAATCTCCAAGACGAACAATGAAGGGACTAGATATACTAGGACTCAGACGGGGATGCCAGCCAACACCCGAAACTTGTAATTATCTCCAAAAATTGCCTAAGGGCGAAAACGATGTAATTGAAACAATAACGTTGAAATAATAAATATGCATGTCTGTCAAAAATACTCTCCAAAATAGTACGTTCGACCATCTCGAACAACACATTTTGGCCCCTGGCCTCGACTTAACTTAAAGGTACGTTTGACCAGCTCGAACAACACATATTAGCCCCTGGCCTTGACTTAACTTAAAGGTATATTCGACCAGCTCGAACAACACCTATCAGTCCCTAGCCTCGACTTAACTTAAAGGTACGATTGACTAGCTCGAACAATACCTCTCGACCCCTGGCCTCGACTTAACTTAAATGTATGATCGATCAGCTCGAACAATACCTATCAGCCCCTAGACTCAACTTAACTTAAAGGTACGTTCGACCATCTTGAACAATACATATTGGCCCCTAGCCTTGACTTAACTTAAAGGTAAGTTTTACCAGCTCGAACAACACCTATCGGCCCTCGGCCATGACTCAACTTAAAGGTGTGTTTGATCAGATCGAAAAGCACTTATCGATCCTTGGCCACATCTCAACTAAGAGACATACTCGACTAGTAACAAGGGTCGATACGGTTCATGACTATTCGATCCAAAGGCTACGACAACCTAGAGGATAACAACAAAAGGAATACAGAAGCAAAACATGCAAGTACATAAACAAAAGGCAGAGATAAAAAAGGTGCGTGTAAAGAAAAGTCAACTTTGATATTCAGATGAAGAGTTTTTACAAGAGCGCTCGAAGACGCCAACAAAAATATACAAGAAGTTAAACAAAAACTAGTGTCCATAACCATCCCGGCCTCTGATGCCCTCTTTATCCTCACCTTGACCGTAAGTAGAGTCATACCAAGAACTGTCC